AATCCAACCCAGACCCTCCCCAAAAGCAACAAATGTTCTTGACTGCTGAGCCAACTCTCTAGCCCAAATTAGTTTAATTTAAAAAGTACTTTACATTTCTTACACATGCCTCTCATGTCCCTTCTAATTCAGAAGTCTAGGATGAAACCAGTCTGGAAACCTCACTGCTCAAGCAAATGTGGGGTAGAACATAGTAATGAACCAGGATCACAGGTTACAAAACAAATTAGCACCTACTGGTTTCAACTGCCTTAGAAAAGTAGTATAAGCTGGGCATGGTGGTGCATGCCTTTCATCCCAGCACTCAGGAGCCAGAGGTAGGTAGATATCTGTGACTTCAAAGCCTGGTCTACATATCGAGTTCTAGGACAGCCAGGGCTATAGAAAGAGATCCTGTCTCAAAAAAAAGAAAAAAAAGAAAAAAAAAGAAGGAAGTTTAAAGACATTAAAATAAGAGTTTCTAACCTCACATGGCTTTTCCAATAGAGATAAAGAATTATTTAGTTGTCAGCAGACTCTCTCAGAGCTAAGACTAAAGTACACTCTTGGAAGAGTTCAGCAGCCAACAAGATATGTTCTCCATGTAACAGGATATCTCTGGGTAGTACAGAAGATCAGATGAATGTAAAACAGCCAATTCCTTGTTTGAATCCTGGAGTGGTGGTCTTGCTTGTAATCTTAGCACTCAGGAAGCTAAGATGGAAGAATCATGAGTTCAAGGCCAGCCTGAGCTGAGACCATATCTCCAATAATAATAATAATATAAAAAAAAAACCTTCTTCAGCAGGTTCATTATCTGAAACAGTTTATCATGATTTATCTGACAATCAGAGAAAGCAAAGGAATAAAGTCAATATCAGACACCATATTAAAAAATTAAATAAATCAGAGGCTGGCAGGATAGCTCGGTGGGTACAGACACCTGCTTCCAAACCTGACTGCCTAAGTTTAATCCCCACCCAGGATTCACAAACAGGAGTAAACCAATTCCTACAGGTTGTCCCCTAAACTCTCCATATGTGCCCTCACATGCACACATACACACCAAAATAAATAAATGCCTGTGGTTTGTTTATACTTGAAAAAAAAAAAGGAATGTAACTCAGTAAGCACAGTGCTTGCCTAACATGCAGAAAGTCCTGGGTTCAATAATCCCTAGCACCAGATAAAGCAGACATAGTGGCAAAAACCTGTAATCTCAGCCTTTGAGAGGTAAAGAGGATCAAATCCAAGGTCATCCTCAGCTATACAGCTAAGGATCAGCTCAGGAAACAAGAAACACAGTCCCCCAAAAATAAGTAAGGCCTACTTTTGTCTGCCTAGTACCTTCAAAAAATTCTGAGGCCACTTTAATACAACATACACAGCCCAAATGAGTTCTGAAACCACTTTAATATACACAGCCTGTACGTTTTCCCAATTGTCTTTGAATCATTCTGATCTCAATAACTTTTGTTTATAAGGCAACTTTTTTTTTCTTTTCGAGACAGTATTTCTCTATGTAACCCTGGCTGTCCTGGCACTCAATCTGTAGACCAGGCCAGTCTTCGAACACAAGGATCCACCTGACTCTATCTCCCAACTGCTCAGTCAGATTAAAAGCATGGGTCACACATCTCATTAAGGCAGCTTCTTCAACACCTCTTCAGAGTCTTTTTGTTTTGAGACAGGGTCTGTCTGTATACCTGTCCTGGAGCTGATTCTGTAGACCAGATTGGCCTTGAACTCAAGATCTATCTGCCTCTGTCTCCGGAGTGCTGAGATTAAAGGTGTGAACCACCACCTCTCCAATTCTTATTACAACCACTGAACTGGGCCCTGAAATCTGCTCTCTGTATCATTCATATATGAGAATGTGCAAGTACAAACTAAAGTACATGCATGTGCATGGGTGTAGCTCCTCAGGTGCCTAATACTTTTTGAGGCAGTGACTCTCATTGGCCTGATACCTTACCAAGTAGGCTAGGCTCAACTAGCCAGTAAACTTCTAGGGATCTGCCAACATGGCCATCACTGTATTACAGGCACATGACAGCACACCCCGCTTTTTACCTGGATTCTGGTGATTTGAACTTGGATCCTCATACTTCTGAAGCAAGCAATTTAACGACCAAGCTATCTCCTCAGCCCTGTAGGTCTTTTTTACGAACAGTACTTAGTCACAATTTTTCCCCTTGAACAAGACAGCCTTGAACACAAAAGATCATGTCTGTTTGGTCTAAAGCAATGAAAAACAAAACAAAACAAAAAATTAAAAAAAAAAAACCTAGCAAGACGAACAATTCAGTAAAAGAGTAGATATAAGCAGGAGCACAAAGGCTCAAATTCCTAAATTCCATTTATATTCCAACAGAGTAGACACTTGTTACTGGGCACCATTTCTCTGATCAATGAAACAGACTACCACCACATACCTCACAGGCATTCAGAAGGCTGAACTGTGCTGGACCCATATACAACTAATCCAAAATAATACTCCAAATACCAGTGGCCACAAGCAACTATCTACATATGACTAATCATCTTATGTTAAAACCTCTAAAATTAACATTCATGTCAAATAATGTAATACAATACAGGCCCATAAAAGAACTAATTTTTTTTTTCTGTTTTCTTGAGACAAGGTTTCTCTGTGTAGCCTTAGCTGTCCTGAAACTCACTCTGTAGACCAGGCTAGCCTTGGAACTCACAGAGATCCAACTACCTCTGCCTCCCGAGTGCTGGAATTAAAGGTGTGTACCACCACCACCTGGTCGAACTAATGTTTTTGTGTTGCTTAAAAATCAGGTGCTTGGTGCACAGGCCTGTAATCTCGGAACTTGGGAGGTAGACAAGAGAATCAGGAGTTCAAGGCCATCCTGCACTATATGAGATTGTCTCAAAACAACAAAACTGTGGTGCTTGGACCAGGGATATTATATATAGCCCAGTGACAGAACATGTACCAGAATGTACAAAGCCCTGTGCTCAAACTCACTACTGGAAGAAAAGATGAAAGCCTAAGAGGGGAGTGACTGGTAGTGGCGCATCCCAGCACTAAGGTGGCTAAAGCAGGATAACTGTCCTAAATATGAGGCCAACTTGGCTATACTGAAATTCCTGTCCTAAAAACAAACGGGCTGCTGTCTCAAAAAAAAAAAAAAAAAAGAAAAAAAAAAAAAAAAAAAAAAAAAAGAGCTGCAGAGATGGCTCAGCACCTGGCTGCTCTTCCAGAGTACCAGAGTTCAATTTCTAGCACTCACATGGCAGCTCACAACTGTCTGCAATCCAGCTCTAAGTGACTTGGCACCCTCACACAGATGTGCAAGTATATTGGTGAATATACGTAAAATAAAAATAAATAAAACAAAAACAGATACATCAGGGTCAGTGAGATAGCTCAGTGGGAGACTGCCCTCCATCCCCAAGACTAAGGAAAGTTGTCTTCGGATCTACACACACACACACACACACACACACACACACACACACACACAAACTCACACTCTTACTCTCTCTCACATGCCAAAATAAATTAATAAAAACTTAAATCAAGCAAACAACTTTACAACAGTAATAGATTGAAAAGTGGCTTTTCTTTTTTCTTTTTAGGACAGGGTCTTCGACTCTCAAGCAGCCTGTATTATCAAATCTCTTGCAAAAAAGAGAAAAGACAATATATATAACTTTCCATGACAAAACAGGGCTACAGCCAACCACTCAAATCACCCATAAAGGCAACTGGGCAGTTAGCTGGGCTGGGCACAGACAACGCACACCAGGCCGCTTTCCGTAACTCTCACAGACTGCATTATTCATTTACCTTCCTCATATAGTTAAGCTAACAACCAAGTCTTAACCACGTGTAAAAAACTGCTGCAAAGTTCCTACTACAGTAACAGGACAATTGGCACTTTCAGCAATAATAATGGCTTCTAGACCCCAAGTCTTGAAGGGGAGAAAATACACAAGGCAAGAAATACAATCAGTAATAAAATGAGAAACCGACTCTCTGGAAAGAGTAACTCTCTGGGCAACTGAGGAGCAGGTCGACACCCCTCCAAAGAAAAGGCCTTAATGCACAAAATGCTACAGCTGAAACCGGAATTCCCGTGAACTGGAACGAAAATGGGGGAAAGCTCTGGGGGCGAGATGACCTGAATTCTCTCAGGAAGAAAAAGCAAGCGAGAGGCGTACCAAGCCCAGGCTGGAATGTTAGGCCCACGGGGGACAGTTATCCAGCGAGCTCGAAATCGCCAAATAAAAGGCTTAATAGGCGAACGCGGTAGGAGATTCAAAGGGTCTGGGAGAGGAGGCGCCGTCTCAAGAATAAAACCGAGGCATTCTCGGGGAAAGAACGCCCCAGGAGGCGGGGAGGAAGGAAGTGGCGGGGA